GGAGACCTTCCACCTGCAAACCGTTAAGGAACTGAGGCCTCCGGTGCTATCTTGGAAGAGGCTCCTCCAGCCCAGCCAGGCTTACAGGTGATTGCAGCTGCTGTTTTGACTTCAAACCCACCAGGGATCTCAAGCCAGACCCATCAAGCTAGGATGCTACTGATTTCTTGACCCACACTGAGACAATATGTGCTTGTTGTAGTGTTTCCCAAAGTGAGTGATACTGGCCTGTAGGGGGCACTGGAATGACCCAGGGAATGCGCCAAAAGCAGCTAATCATAATGGATCCGGAATAATGGGCTACAGTCCCAAAGTTCATGATTGCCAGGGGGTGCTGAGTAATTTTTTTTTTTAATGAAAAGGGTACAGTCTGCCAAATAAGGTTAGGAACTGATGTGGAGGAAGAAGGACAGTCAGGAGGAGGAGGAAGAATTCGGATGCATGGCTAACTGCCTGCAGGATACCAGGAAAACTGGATGGTGCCCCACCACCATTGCTTAACATTTGGATGAAGAATTTTAACATTTTGATCAAGTCATAGAATCTGGACTTTCTGGCCCTATTGAGATTGGATGATTGCCTGAAAACTGTTGCCCTGAGATAACCTTTAAACCTGAAAACAGAACAAAACAAAACAAAAACCTGTGGCAATTACATAATCTCCTGTCAACTGGTGAAGGGGCGGAGTCTAGCCTGGCAATAAGGTCATAGCCAATGGTGCCTCAGGGCCTTCTCCTGAGGATTCTGGGAACTCTTATCTTCCTCCCTGGAGGTGGGACACACACCCTCTGCTTCTTCCTGCTGACAAGCCACGTGGAGACCCACACCAGCATTGAGATGCTTCCACCACCACTGGATCCACAAGACATTCCACCCACTGGCCTGTGCTCTTCCTGCATTTAGTATCATTGCATGGCTGCATGAGTCTAAAGAGGAATTTATGGACTAGTATTGACATATGGGGTATTATCGGACTTATGGACTTGATCTGGACTGGGCTGGGATGTTTTCTTTCCTTTTTAAAAAAATCATTTTATTGGGGGCTCAAACAATTCTTATCACAATTCATCCATCCATCCATTGTGTCAAGCACATCTGTACATTTGTTGCCATCATCATTCTCAAAACATTTGCTTTCCACTTGAGCCCCTAATATCAGTTCCTCATTTTTCCCTCTCCCTCCCTGCTCCCTCCTCCCTCATGAGCCCTCCATAATTCATAAACTATTATTATTTTTGGATGTTTTCTTAGTGTACAATTGCTCTTTGAGATAAAGTCCTCTCTTACACATATGAGTGTCTCTGGACTTGTTTCTCTAGTCTACCCAGACTAACACTCCACCTTGAAATCTTCTTTAAACCAAACAATTTTTTAACCCAGCTCGTACACAGTGTCTAGCTTGAGCATTGTGTTCTTTTGGAGAACTGTCTGCAGAACTCTCTCACATTGACCACCGCAACCCGCCGGGTCAGTTGGAAGCTGAGAAGGCAGTGGATTCAGGGGGAAGAAGGGCTCAGAAAAGGAAGAGGAGAAGGGTGTTACAATTCGAAGACTAACCAATGCTTCTGAATTACACACGTAGAGAACTGTTGAATTGGTATATATGCTGTTGATTTTCAACAACAATAAAAAACACAGATGAAACAATAAACAATAACGGTTGCGCGTTTTAAACTAACTGGAGTGATTTGTTCTGCAGTAGCGGATAACTAATGAAGAAACCATCAAGCCCTGTGAATGAATGCGTCTGAACACAAAAGGGCAGCCTGCTCACAGCTGTGTTTCGTATGGCCAGTAGAAGACTGAGAAAAAGAAAGGAAAGGGTTACTTGCTAATCATTGAACATCTAGTTTCTGACTTGTCTTACAAAGTCGGAAGACCTGGCATCGCTGAGCTTATATTCCCATGTGGTGACAACCAGCTGGTGGGGGGGAAAACACCCCACCCTTTCAGACGAGGCACGTGTTCTGTTTGCCACACCCGCTACCCTCCCTTATGCCTCTCAGCCGGGTCGCTTCACTCCTTTGTGATTCCTGCCTGGTCCCTGTAGGCATTTGTACCTACTGTGGGGAACAGAAGGATTTCTCTTAAGTTGTCTCCCCAAAATATATACCAGACTTAGCTGCTTAAGCGTGACTGTACAATAGGCAGCGAAAGTAGGTCAGAGGTTATTCTCCTTAACATTGGCCATCTGTAGTGGCTAGACTATTAGTCTGACTCACCCTGAATAAGACCCACTCCCTTCTGATAAGGATAATGGTGGTCTATTCAGTTGCAAGAGATACCAGAGAGGGCAAACCCGCCCAAGGGGGACCAAGGTTAGTTAGCCATTATCAGCTGTCTAGATCAAGCAGACACCACTGTCTATTCCACAACCAATGTGGACACACCCCTGGGTGATTCCCCTCCTATTGATTGTATTGCCTATGTTACTACCCCTGTGTTAATACCCCTCCTGGTGACTCAGGTTATTGTCCACTATCAGGGAACTTGCATGCCTCCCAGAATAGTAATTGTCTGTTTTATTATGTGAGATGTTAGAGTGATCAAACTTGTTCTAGAATGAATTGTATTGCCCCTTTCTGTGATGTATGACTCTATGATGCGTGGTTAGCAATAAATAAGGAGGCTCCCTGGTTCTCGAGAGGGTGGCTGGAGAAGGTGACTAAGGAGGACAAAGCAGCGGCTTCTTCTCTGACGACTAAGCCCCCTCCACGAGAACCATCAAGCTGGGCTGAGGTGAGATATACTACCATGAATTGCATCTGACTCCATTACTTGACTCCATCCTTTAACTCTCATGCTCTCTATGACTTTACTATAATCTCTACTTATTATCGCTGTACAATTGCGCCTACCAAACCTATGATGTTTTGTGGGGTTCCCTCTTACCCTTAACCCCACAACTTACCATTTCTGTTGTGAGATATTTTCGGGGAAAGGGGTGTCAAGGCCAAGAAACACCAGGAACAGTGGCTATCCAACCCAAAGGGCAGAACTGGGCTTTGGGTGGAGAGAAAGAGCCAGGCTTGCCTGAAGCCCCATGTCCTCCAGCTTCTGCTTGCTTTCAGTTATTTAACTCCCCACGCCCCCACCCTCCACCGCCGCTGCCACCTCCTTGTGCCTCTGGAACAGAACAAACTCCACCAGGCTGGTTTTCTCCATACCTTTTTATTGAACTCTGCAGACTTCATTGAGGGACCATTTGCTTGGAAATTCTTAGAACATTTGGACATATTTCACAAGACAGGACAGCAGCTGGAGGTCAAACAAGGATCATAGTCTCATCTTACCACATGCATATAAAGACACTGGGTTTAGTTGTTGGTTTCTCGTGTGTGTGTGTGTGTGTTGCTCATTTTCACCTTTACAGGAAGGACGAGAGACGACAGCTGACAAGAGATGAACAGGACCCACGGGACTCGACCCCCAGAACAAGGTGGCTAAGGACGTTGGTCATTTATGGCTAATGTGATTGCTGGGCCTCCACCATGGGTGGGGCAATCGGAATGGCTTTGCTGGCAGAAAAGCCCCAACCTCACGGGCTCCTTGGAGAGACAGAGGGTCTTAGCTGATGGGACCAAGATGCGTGGTATCATGGTGGGGGGGGCATGGAGGTTCAGAGAAAAGGAAGACCACAGGTTCCCAAAGCTGGAAGACAGACTGGTTCGCTTATCCAACTGGACACCCGTCACTCAGGGAATGAGATCCTGATTCCTGCCTCCCGAGAGCCCCAGAACATGGGAAACCCCTCCTTTGGGCCTTTGGCTTAGCCCATTGGAAAACCACCTTGTCTGTGGTCTCCAAAGCACTGGGTGTGAGCTTAACCACAACATGAGGCAGAGACAGGCCGCACAGCAAGTAGGAAGGAGACTGGCGCTGCCCCACAGCAACTCCGGAGTCAGCATGGAGGAGACGAGCATTCAATTAGAATGTGTTCTTGGCCCCAGATTGAGCCAAAGAACAGATGGCAATGGTAGGGAAGTTTGGGCTTCAGCAGGAGAGTGGGCCCCGATTTCTCCACCTTTCTCAGCTAACATGACTCCGAGTCAGATAAGAGCTAACTCCCTCAAACTCTCACTCACCCATACATTCACCAGAAGTTAGCCATGCACACACACCTGCAAAACAACACAGGTTGGGCGATCACGGTGTGCCAAGGGCATGGGCTCAGAGAATCATCCCGAGTTCCTGATGCAGAACATGGGGTCCCCACAGCCCTGACCTTGGGCTGAAGCCAGGATAGGTTTGGAAAGTCAAGGGGCCACCTGGTCTTGGCTTCATGCAGTGGGCCAGCTGCCCCACCCGTGGCTCCTATGTCCCCAGTGACCAA